AGTAGAAGATCCTTGCATCCAAGGCTAGAAAATCCTTTCATTATTTCATTCAAAAATAAAAATCTGAAAGAAAAATTAATTTTGATGGATCCTGAAGGAAGTACAGGTCAAACTTTCTTGGATCTTTCTTGGGTCATGCAGGTTATTACATAAAATTTATTCAAATTTTTTCAAAAATTTCTAAACCTCTCACCATGCTATTATCTAAAGATGTGCCTTTTAATTTTGATGAGAAATGTTTTGAGTCTTTTTCTGAAATAAAAAGATTACTTATTGAGGCACCCATTTCACAAGCTCTTGATTGGTCCCTTCCCTTTGAAATAATGTATGATGCATCGAATTATCAGTGGGGGCCATTCTAGGACAGACAAAAGAGTCAAAACCCATAGTAATTTCATATGCTAGTAAAACTATATCCGATGCTCAATTAAATTATACCATGACTGAAAAAGAGTTGTTAGCTGTAGTATTTGCATTATAAAGGTTTAGATCATATATTTTGGGAGCTAAAATTATTATTTATATTGATCATGCAGCATTAAAATCTCTATTGAATAAGAAAGATGCAAAGCCACGTCTATTAAGATGGATTTTATTGTTACAAAAATTTGACTTAGAAATAAAAGATAAAAAAGGTTTTGAGAATGTTGTTACTGACCATCTTTCTAGATTAAGTGATACAGGAATAAATGCAGCACCTTTACAAGACACATTTCCAAATGAACAATTGATGACAACTCAACATAAACCATCACCATGGTATGCACATATTGTTAATTTTCTGATTTCTGTAAAAATTCCAGAATAATGGGATAAGAATAGAAAACATCATTTCTTTCCTAAGATTAGAAATTATTTTTGGCATGATCCTGATTTATATTACTAGGACAATGATCAAATTTTAAAGAGATATGTTCTTGAAGAAGAATATCATAGCATTATTAACATGTGCCATTCATCTAACTATGGAGGACATTTCTCTAGATGAAAAACAGCTGCAAAAATTTTTCAGTGTGATTTTTTATTGGCCTACAATCATTAGAGATTCTATAGAATTTAGTAGAACATGTATTTCATGCCAATCTATAAGTAATATGAGTAAAAAAGATGAAATGCCCATGATTAACATGTTAGTAGTTGAAATTTTTTATGTACGGGGAATAGATTTCATGGGTCTTTTCCCATCAGCTAAAAAATATGAATATATTTTACTTGTTGTTGATTATGTGTTGAAGTGGGTGGAAGTTATTCCTACTAGAACTAATGATCATAAAATCGTGATGAAATTTGTGCAAGAAAACATTTTTTGAAGATTTGGATGTCCTAGAGTGATTATTAGTGATGGAGGAACACATTTTACAAATAAACATTTCAAGGAACTGTTGAAAAAGAATGGAGTACACCATAGAGTAGACACTCCATATCATCCCCAAACAAATGGACAAGTTGAAGTAGCAAATAGGAAAATTCAGAGAATTTTGAGAAAAATAGTTAGACCAGATAGGAAAGATTGGCCCACGAAATTACAAGATGCATTATGGGCTTATAGAACAGCTTATAAAAATCCTATAAGTATGTCCTCATTTCGTCTCATTTTTGGAAAGCCATTTCATCTTCTTGTGGAAATAGAGCATAAAGCATTATGGGCTATAAAAAATTTATGTATAGATGAAAAATCAGCTGGTGGGCATAGAATTTTTCAACTACATGAACTAGAGGAATCGAGGAATGAAGCTTATGAAAATCATAGAATATATAAAGAAAAAACTAAAACTTTTCATGATAAATACATTAGCAGAAATTTTTTTGATGTTGGACAAAAAGTGTGGTTATATGATTCTAGGCTGAAATTATTCCGAGGAAAATTAAAATCCAAATGGAAAGGGCCTTATGTGGTGGAAGAGACATGATCATGGGGCTGTAACGATTAAAGATCCTAAAAGTGATCATAACTTTCAAGTAAATGGACAACAGCTTAAACATTAGATAGAACATGAATGTCTTGTAGAAAAATAAATTTTATTATTAAAAGAAATTCAAGAGTAAGATCAAGGAGTCCAGCTAGAGACATTAAATGTAGTGCTACATGGGAGGAAACCCATGGTTTTTATTTCATTTTGTTTGATTTTTTTTTAAGCTCTATTTTTTTTAGAATTTCACAGTACTTGTTTCTGTATTTGTTTTTTCGAAAAAGTGTAGGAGGAGTGTAAGATGAAGTGGAAAATTAAAAAAGAGGTTGAGGTGATATCTTTCTGAGCTTTATCATTTATGAAAATATTTTTAATGCTTAACTTTGCACATATGCATGTTTCACTTGAAAATTATATTTTCTCCATATTCTGTTTCGATTTTTCTATGTCATTGAAGACAATGTCATTTTTAAGTTGGGGGGTGAAGTATTCATTATTAATTTATGCTGTAAGACGATTAAGAACATGTGTTTGTATTTTATTCAACTTAAAACAACAACTAAAAAAATAAAAATAAAATAAAATTCGGAAAAATTGCAACATCTATTTTTTGGTTTTTTGTCAGGAACAGACTATCAAAAATAGCAGACAAAAAAACAGCCCAAAATTTGAAATTCTAGAGATCCTTTTCTCACAGTTCAATCCCTTAGACATATATTACTGAAATTCGAAATTATAGCTATAAAGAGGATAGTTTTGATTTATTTTTGACAAATTTACTGCTGCTAAAAATAGAACTGAAAATAGAAAACAGAACTGTCAGAACTATCTAATTTATAAATTTCTTACATCATATTGTATGCATAAAAAATTAAATAAATTAGATTGATTGATACCAAAAGATATTAGGAAGATTATTATTGAGTCAAAAGAATGATTTAGTAGCATGAAATATTGGAATACTCCTTGGATACATGATAGATAACATGGATTTGATTTTACAGATTTTTACTTCATGATCTTGATGGATAGTATTTACTTGATGTGAAAATTTGATTGATCATTTGAGTTTAATGGAGATTTTTGCACCTTGATCTATAGGACTTGTGAGGAGAAATCACTTATTTCGAAAAAAAAAAAAGAGAGAGCAATGTGAAAAATCTAGAAATGAAGAGTACACATGGACGGTGTGAGATATCATTCTCATTGTCGAAAATCGTGCATAGAAAAACACTTGCTGTAAAACAAGTGGATAAAGTAAAAGCCCTGAAAATGAAGAGTACACATGGAAGGTGTGAGACATCATTCTTATTGTCGAAATTATCTATAAGAAAAGCTACTTATCTATTATATATATAAAAAAAAAAAGAGAAGGAAGAAATATGGTGCAAACTTCAAAAATCAAGCCATAGAAAAAGAGAAATGTAAGATCAATATTATTTTTGGATGAGTATTGATAATTAAAACAACTTATAAATACATCTATGAGTGAAGAAATGATAAAGATGTAAATAGAAGAAGTGAAGTCTAGATTGTTATTCCAAAGAGTGTTCAGACATTTAAGTGCTTGACATCATTCTTAAATACTTGATATAAGAATCCAAAGTGTCTAAAGGTGCATCATTTCTAATTGTATATTTTTTTTTCTGTATTGAAATATGATGTTTGAGATTTGTAAATTTTTATTTTTCTAATTCAATTGCTAAGGGACTAGCAATGATTTAAGTTAGGGGGTGTTGACGTGACTTAGTCGTTGTATAGTAAAACATGCAAATTTAAAATTTATAAAACTAAAAAATATGATTTTTCAGATATTTAGAAGTATTTTTGAATAAATATATCAATTATAATTCAATAAAACTTTCAAAAATAGCAGTAATTTTCTAGGTCGATCATAGAAATGTAATATAATATCTAGTACTGATTCAAAAAATTTCTCAATGAATACGATTTTCTATAAATTTTAAACTAGGAAATGAAAATGAAATATATTCAAAATTCACAAAAAAGGGAAATAAGGGTGCGGACGTCAAGATGACGTTAGCGCCTGGCGAATGCAAATAGGGCGGAAAATGAGTTCCACCCGACGATTCTTACGTAAGCGATTACAGACGATTTAATTAATCAAATTAAGATCTGTAAAAGCCAAAAGAATCGTAATTGAATGAAGTACATTTTGGTAAATTAAAATCACACAAATTATCACTAAATGAAGCGTAAAGTAAGTTGAAAGAAGGAAAATAGAGTTCCGATGTTGCGACGGCGATGCGTCGGCGATGCACCGGAATCTTGAGCATTCGGGAGGATCATCATGTAGTGTCCACGGCCTCAAAGGCTCTCCTTAGACAAAGACGACGTGCACAATCTCTAGATCTTCATCGCATTTGGTACGCTCTCAACAGCTGGTGACTCATCTCCTAGTGGATTGTTGACGTGACTCAGTCGTTGTATATTAAATCACGCAAATCTAAAATTTATAAAACTAGAAAATACGAATTTTCGGATATTTAGAAGTATTTATAAATAAATATATCAATTATAATTCAATAAAAGTTCCAAAAATAGCGATAATTTTCCAGGTCGATCACAGGGATGTAATATAATATCTGGTAATTATTCAGAATTGTTCTCAATGAATACAATTTTCTATGAATTTTATACTAGGAAATTGAAAGGAAATATATTTAAAATTCACGAAAAAAAAGGAAATAAGGGTGCGGGCGTCAGGATGACGTCAGCACCCGGCGAACGTGAATCGGGCGGAAACAGAGTTCTGCCCGGCGATTCTTACGTAAGCGATTACAGACGATTTAATTAATCAAATTAAGATCTGTAAAAGCCGGAAGAATCGTAATAGAACAAAGTATATTTTGGTAAATTAAAATCACAAAAAATATCACTAAATGAAGCGTAAAGTAAGTTGAAAGCAGGAAAACAGAGTTCCGGCGTCGCGACGGCGATGGGTCGGCGATGCACCGGAATCCTGAGCATTCGGGAGGATCGTTGTGCAGTGTCCACGGCCTCAAAGGCTCTCCTTGGACAAAGACGACGTGGGCAATCTCTAGATCTTCTCACGAAGTCTAGAGATCAATGAAATGGGTCACTGAGTCGTCTCTGGCGGCTGTCACCCGGCGGAGCGGAAAAACGTCGACTTTGCGACTCTCCGACGGCTGTCACCCGACGGAGAGGAGCTGGATGGAGGTGGGGCGCGTGTCAGGGAGCTTCATCCTCAGGTCCGCGCAGCAAGAGGAGGCTCTTCATCGCATCTGGTACGCTCTCAGGAGGTGGCGACTCGTCTCCCGGCGGATCGTCCTCTTCCCGACGACGGCTTGTTCGTCGATCAATCGGAGATGATTTACTCAATGGGTTCGTGATCCTTTTATCGCGAATCATTTAGAAATTTTAGTAGCAATGCTCCGCGAATCGCGTTGACGAGATTTTCGCCGATGATCCAGCGATTCTCGTTGCTTAATCCTTCATCGGCGATCTGCAGGAAAGTCGCGATAATCAGATAAAAATATATGAGTTTTGACTCTGGGAGGATTCAAACCCGCACCGGTCGCCCGCCTGTGAGGAAGGTGTGACGCGGGTTTAGTCCCACATCGGTTGTGCGCCAATTTTTCGGGTGAATATATAGTAATGTTAGCTTCGAAAGCAAAGTCACTTCTCTCGCGCGTACGACCACTCCTTGCCCCACAGCTGGCTGGCCACCAGTGACGTGGAAGGGGAGTGGGCGCACACGTGCCCCTATCGGTCCAAGCTAAGCCACTCGAGCCCTTGCTTGCGGCTACTCCTGACTGTGCTTCCGACCCGCTTGCGGGCCCGGCTGGCCGGCGGGTCCCCCCATTTTGCAATATTTTTATTTTTATTTCTTGTTCTTCATTTATCTCAAAAGTAAGATTGTAAAAATCGTATAAAATCACATAATTACCCAAAAATTCACGTTAACCAACTGAAGACCACTTTTCACACTTTAACACAAATATAAGTCTATTTATCATGAGTTAAGGCTAAAACTATATTATTTACTAATTATTAACTCATGATAATGAAGACTTATCAATCGTCCTCTTCCCGATGACGGCTTGTTCATCAATCAATCGGAGATGATTTACTCGATGGATTCACAATCCTTTTATCGCGAATCGTTCAGCAATTTTAGTAGCAATGCTCTGTGAATCACGTTGACGAGATTTTTGCCGATGATCCAGTAATTATCGTAGCTTCATCCTTTACCGGCGATCTGTAGAAAAGTCGCGATAATCAAATAAAAATGTATGACTTTTGACTCTGGGAGGATTCGAACCTGCGCTGGTTGCCCGCTCTTTCTAGGGAAGGTGACATAGGTTTAGTCCCACATCAGTTGTGCACCGATTTTTTGGGCGAATATATACTAATGTTTCATTTCTAAGCAAGTCCCTTCTCTCGCGTGTACGACCACTCCTTGCCCCACAGCCGGTTGGCCACCAGTGACGTGGAAGGGGAGTGGTGCACGTGCCCCTATCGGTCCAAGCCGCTCGAGCCCCTACTCGCGACTACTCCCCGACTGTGCTTCCGACCCGCTTGTGGGCCCGATTGGCCGGCAGGTCCCCCTCATTTTGTCTTTATTTTACCTTTTATTTCTTTTTCTTAATTTATCTCAAAAGCAAGACTGTAAAAATCATATAAACTCATGTAAAATTACATAATTACCCAAAAATTCACATTAATCAACTGAAAACCACTTTTCACACTTTAACACAAATATACGTCTATTTATCATGAGTTAAGGCTAAAACTATATTATTTACTAATTATTAACTCATGATAATGAAGACTTATATTTATGTTAAAGTGTGAAAAGTGGTTTTCAGTTGATTAATGTGAATTTTTGGGTAATTATGTGATTTTATATGAATTTATATGATTTTTACAATCTTGTTTTTGAGATAAATGAAGAAAAAGAAATAAAAAATATAAAAAAGACAAAATGAGGGGGACCTGCCGGCCAGCCGGGCCCGCAAGCAGGTCGGAAGTGCAGTCGGGGAGTAGCCACTTTAAAATTTCCTTTTTTACAATTTTTATCATGTTAGGATTTCATTTTCCAGTCAATAGCTTTCTTATTTTTTTGAAGTACATCAAATAATTTTTCTTTCTATTCATCACTCAAATTAGCTACAATAATAACAAGAAATGAATTATTTTCCTCTAAAAATAGATATTTTAAACTAGAGGGAAGAGGTTTCAACTCTAAATTCAGATGATCTTTCTCTTTCTTTTCTCCCCAATTTATATTCTCTATTTCCTCTAATTCTTCCAGCACACAGTCATCAATAACATCTGGAACATCAAAATCATCTAGAAGATCTATGGTATGACAGTCATATACTTGGGATTTCTTAAGATCATTTGATACCTCAAAAATTTTAATTTCTATTGATTGATTTCCACATAAAATTTTTACAATACTTGTAGGAAAATCAATATTTATCTTTTTTATATGCAAAACTGGTCTCCTTATGATGATTAGTGTATCATAAAATTGTCCATTAAAAATCTATTTCTAGTACTAAAAAATCAATTGAAAATTTTACACCCTTTAATTGTCACTATCACATTTTCTAAAATACCTTTAGGATATTTTATAGATCTATCAACAAATGATAAGGTTACAATAGAAGGTTTAAGATAAAAAATATTAAATTTATTACAAATACTTGTAGGTAATAAATTAATACTAGCACTGGTGTCAAGTAATGTATTTTGAAAAATAGATCCACCAATATCACACAAAATTAAAAGGGCACCAGTATCTCTCAATTTATATGGTAATAATAAAGCACTAGTATGCATAGATAATTTTTTTACTCTAAGTGCCCTTGTTGGTGTACACATTTTTTTCAAAACTCTAGCATATTCAGAAATATGTTCAATGGTAGTGAGTAAAAGAAGACTAATTTGTACATCTTATATATTTTTTTTTATTTCTTCATTGTGTTCCTTTTTCTTTCTTTGTCTAGGTTCTAGAGCTTTAGGAAATAGAATGATTGTCCTCTCTTTTGGAATTTCCTTGGTAGAATCTATCAAATCCTCTTCTACTCGTATTTGATTTTGTTTTGGGCTGTCCATGTTTTCCTTTTTTTATAATATTTGAGACTAAGGATCAGGTAAAATCTTCCCACTCCTTAATGCATTCACTGTCCTAACATTTTCATTTCGTGGGTTTTTTCCTAGATTCATGCTATTAGACTCCCCTTGTTGAAATCCTATTGTTAGGGGGTTCCCTGGATTTTCTATGGGCTGACTAAGTAGTTATCCCTCTTCTCTCTTATTCTCAAGAACCTCTATAATTTGTTTCTGCTGCAACATCATTTGATTCATAGTTTGTTGCATCATTTGACTCATTTTCTACATCATTTTCATAGCATTAAGTTAGACTTGAGAGAGCTGAGTTTTCTAAAATATGTTTTCCTATTTTGGACAAAATTTAGAGTTTGAATTAGGCCTAATTAGGATTATAAGAATTAGAAAAAGGCTCTGTATTTCTATTAAAACCGTGAGCCACTTACACTTTTTCTTGCAGAGTGAAACAATTGATCTAAATTATAGCATTGAAATTCAGAATAATTATTTTCACCATACATAGGACATGTACTATTTGAATTAATTTGAGGGTTAAGAGGCTTTCTAATATTCTCAAGAAGTAAATCAAGTTTTTCTAATATTTGATTAATTTGATTAACCTCATTTCATAAATTAGAATCATTTTGATGATGCAATTCATAAATTTCTCTCTTCTTATCCCTATCATATAATTTAATCTCTAAAATTTTCACTTAAATTCTCATAAAGACTGTAAATCTCATCAGGAGTTTTCCTCATAAAAACTCTTCTATATATAGAATCAATCATATTTCTATGCTGTTCTAATAATCCATCATAAAAAATTCTATTGAGTTGTCACTTGGGTATAGCATGATGAGGACATTCTCTAAGTAAATCTTTAAATTTTTCCCATATCTCATGCAAAGTTTCTCATGGTCTTTGAGAAAAATTCCATATATATTTTTCATATTTTGAGTGTTTCCTAAGAGATAAAATTTTTGAAGAAAGCCCTATTCTATGTCTTTCTAGCTAGTTAATTATCTATCTAATGTGAATAGTAAATGACTAGTTTTGTCCCTAAGTATATGAGAAAATAATTTTATCTTAATAATTTTCAGTGTAAACTTGAGAGAGAGTAACTAAATCACAGACTACATGAAATTTTTCTAAATGCTAATGAGGTTCCTCTAAAGGCAATCCATGAAAATTAGGGAGCATTTGAAAAATTTCTAAATTTATTTTGAATTTAACAATAGGTGCTAATTGGATTCTAATATTAGATGCTCTTTGAAATGAATCAAGGATATAATGATTTTTCATGGCCATAGGATTATGTTCACTTTGACCTCTAATATTGGATTCATCAAAATTAATTTTTCTTTTGGATTTTTAGTTTTGAATGAAATAGTGAAAAGATTTTCTAGCCTTGAATGCAAGGATCTTCTACCATACATAAAAATCAATAAATTCAAGGAAAAACTTTAATAATTGTTACCTTCCTTCAGTATGCTCTAGTCCTTGCCTTGCTTCTCTTCGTTCCTTTTTTTCTAAAAAACAATCTGCAAGAAGAAAAAAAATAAGAGTTAATTTTTTTATGTACTCTAAGAGAAAAACATAAAAAAATTAAATACTATGTAATACATCACTAGCAACAGCACCAAAATTTAACGTGACTTAGTCATTGTATAGTAAATCACGTAAATTTAAAATTTATAAAACTAGAAAATACTAATTTTTAGATATTTAGAAGTATTTTTGAACAAATATATCAATTATAATTCAATAAAACTTTCAAAAATAGTGGTAATTTTTCAGGTCAATCCAAGGATGTAATATAATATCAAGTAATTTTCCAAAATTTTTCTCAGAGAATATAATTTTTTTATGAATTTTATGTTACTAAATAAAAATAAAATATATTTAAAATTCATGAAAGTAGAAAATAATGGTGTAGACGTCAAGATGACATTAGCACACAATGAATGGAAATTAGGCAAAAATAGAGTTCTACTGAAGATTCTTATGTAAGTAATTATAGATGATTTAATTGATCAAATTAAGATTTGTAAAAGCGGGAAGAATTATAATTGAATGAAGTAAAGTTTGGTAAATTTAAATCACACAAATTATCACTAAATAAAGCGTAAATTAAGTTGAAAGTAAGAAAAAGAGGGTTTTAGCATCGCGGCAGTGATGCATCGGCAATGCACCAAAATCTTGAGCATTTGAGAGGATCGTTGTGTTGTGTTCATGACCTTGAATGCTCTCCTAGGATAAGGGCGATGTGGCCCATCTTTAGATCTCTTTGCAAAGTCTAGAGATTAATAAAATGGGTCGTCAAATCGTCTCTGGTGGCTATCACTTGATAGAGCAGAAAAACGATGACTTTGCAGCTTTCCAGCAGCTGTCACCTAACAAAGAGGAGTTGGATGGAGGTAGAGCGCATGTTAGGGAGCTTTATTCTCAAGTTCGCACAGTAAGAGAAGGCTCTTTATCGTATTCAGTACACTATCAGGAGGTGGCAACTCGTCTCTCGACAGATCATTCTCTTCTCAACGATAGCTTGTTTGTTTGTCGATCAATCAGAGATGATTTACTCGATGGATTCGTGATCCTTTTATCACGAATCATTCAGTAATTTTAGTAACAATGTTCCACGAATCACGTTGACAAGTTTTTC